AGAGAGAAAGGTAGATAGAAGAGAGAGAGTAATGGGGGAGAAGTATTGAGGAAGAAGAAGAGTGAGAGTGGGAGCATGTGGGAGGTAGGGGAAAGGGAAGAGAGGAGGGGGAGGGGGAGGGACGGGTGGGGAAAAGGTGGTGGGTTGGTGCGGATTAGCAGTAGCGCGGGAGTTAAAATGCACTGCTGCTAAGGAAGTAGCACCAGCGCGCTTTGGGCAACGGCGCTACTGCTAACCGGGACCAAAAAGTGTGCCAATTTGAAATTTAGCAGCAGCGACCTCAGAAAAAGCGCGCTACTACTACATCCGTAGCAGTGGCGCGGCTCGCGGCACCGCGCTGCTGCTAAATGGAGTTTGGTGGACACCCGCCGGTCGATATTTGTAGCAGCGCGGTTTACACCGAGCGCGCTACTGCTAAAAACTTGTCAGTAGCGAGTTTCCCGCACACGCGCTACTACTAATTAGCAGCAGCGCTCCTTTTTGAGTCGCTCTGCTGCTAAGATTCTGTGTATAGGCTTTTCCCTAGTAGTGTGTGCCACCACGATTACCGGGGAATCCTTGCCGCCTCACTAGAGCTGCCAACACGAGACCTGGGGATCGAAAGGGAACAACGGCCACGGGAGTGACCACACCGCGACTGGAGGGAGGGATAGCCTCCACCGCCTCGGCGGGGCCGACCGGACGCAGCGACAACGATTTGCAGGGCACCGAATGCCCGGCCGGGTCCACTTGGAACCGGACAGTCCTGTCACCAAGCTGCAGTGCGCCGACCGACGAAGCCCTCACCGCCCGAGACCGCCGCCACCACGCCACCAGGGAATGACGCCGAATGCCGAGCCATCGGCCCACCCAACCCGGATGAGGCCCAAAATGGCCCAGATCTGGGCTGGTTGGGCACCGCCAGGCCCACCGCCGCCCCACGGCTAATGGCCGCACCGCCGTGTCGAGCACCACCGCGGCCCGCGACATCACCACCGACGGGCAGCACCGAAGCTGGCCGAGGCGCACCGCCACCGGCCATCACTGCCCGAGCAGGGGAGGGTCGCGCGTGGGGAGATG